CGCGCAGCCCTGGAGCTCCCGGAGCCGCCCCTGCACGTGCTCCCCCTGCGCCCGCAGGTCCTCGGCCAACTGCGCCGCCTCCACCGCCTGCTCATTTGCATACGGGTCATTTGCATATGGATCAGAGTTATTTGCATACCCCTGAGATACACCTGAGTGCACCCGGATACTCCTAAGACTCATTTACATACACTTGAATGTACATAAGTATGTCTAAGATACACCTGGGATACACCTGGATGCACCTAAGACTCATTTACATACAGCTCAGACTCATTTGCATACTCCTGGAGCTCATTTACATACACCTGGGACTCGTTTACATACACCTGAGTGCACTTGGATATGCCTGGGATTCATTAATATACACCTGGGATACACCTGGATACACCTAGGACTCATTTACATACACCTGGAGCTCATTTGCATACACCAGGGACTCATTTGCATATACCTAGATACACCTGGATACTCCTAAGACTCATTTACATACACTCAAATATACCTGGATGGGTCTAAGATACACTGAATACACCTGGGATACACCTGGATACACCTAAGACTCATTTGCATACAGCTCAGACTCATTTACATACAGCTGGGACTCATTTGCATACAGCTGGGACTCATTTGCATACAGCTGGGGCTCATTTGCATACAGCTGGGGCTCATTTGCATACAGCTGGGACTCATTTGCATACAGCTGGGGCTCATTTGCATACAGCTGGGGCTCATTTGCATACAGCTGGGGCTCATTTGCATACAGCTGGACACACCCCTGGAGCTCCCGGAGCCGCCCCTGCACGTGCTCCCCCTGCGCCCGCAGGTCCTCGGCCAACTGCGCCGCCTCCACCGCCTGMKCATTTGCATATCCATCATTTGCATATGGATCAGAGTCATTTACATACCCCCAGAGCTCATTTACATACAGCTAGATGCTCCTAGGACTCATTAACATACACCTGGGAGCCACTCTGATACACCTGGGATACACCTGGGATACACCTGGATATGCCTAGAACTCATTTACATACACCTGGAGCTCATTTGCATACAGCTGGAGCTCATTTGCATACAGCTGAGACTCATTTACATACACCTGGAGCTCATTTACATGCACCTGGATACTCCTGGAGCTCATTTACATACAGCTCAGACTCATTTACATACATCTGGGACTCATTTACATACAGCTGGATACACCTGGGACTCATTTACATACACCTGGAGCTCATTTACATACACCTGGATACACCTGGATCTACCTAGGACTCATTTACATACACCCGCAGGTCATTTACATACATCTGCATACACCTGGGCTACACATGGATACACCTGACACTCATTTGCATACACCTGGAACTCATTCACATACACTTGGAGCTCATTTGCATACACCTGAAACTCATTTACATACTCCTGGAGCTCATTTGCATACAGCTGAGAGTCAATTACATACATCTGCATATACCTGGGACTCATTTACATACTCCTGGAGTTCATTTGCATACAGCTCAGACTCATTTGCATACATCTGGGACTCATTTACATACAGCTGGATACACCTGGGACTCAATTACATACACCTGGAGCTCATTTGCATACACCTAGGACTCATTTGCATACACCTAGGACTCATTTGCATACACCTAGGACTCATTTGCATACACCTAGGACTCATTTGCATACATCTAAGATACACCTGGACGCTCCTAAGACTTTTTTTTGGGATTTTTTT